GAGTGCTGAACCGCAGGAACGACCACCTGTGGTTTAGTCATTTGGCCTAGGTGTGCATCACTAAAAAAGACCACGAAACTCACCGATGTACCCGTCAGCAACTTACTGTAGGGCGTGAGAATGCTGACCCCTGTTTTAGCAATTTTGAAATATACAGTAATTATAAAATTTCCTTTTTGTTTTGTGGGCCTAGATGGACAACAGCTGTAAGCAGGGCTCCACAGGTTTACCCCATGCACCAGCTGGTGCTGGCCGCCCCCGCCCCACCCCTCACTCCTGTGCTAGCAGGAGACACAGCTGTAAGCCACTGGATCACCTTCATCACCAGGAGAGAGGCTGCAGGTTGTCTGCCAGGACCAGGGATTTGAAGAGCTAATCAGTTTCCCCAGCGGTGATCTTAGCACTTTGCCAAACTCCTCTCCATCAATTGCCAAGTAGCATACATCCTAGAGCAGTAATTCTCAACCTTCCTAATGCTGCGACCTTTTAATACAGTTCTCATGTTGTGGGGACCCCAAAACATAAAATTATTTCGTTGCTACTTCATAACTGTGATTTTGCTACTGTTATCAATTGTAGCATCATTATTCGATATGTAGGATATCTGATATGCGACCTCAGAGGGGTTGAAACCCGCAAGTTGAGAACCACTGTCCTAGAACCAAGACCCTAACCTTGAGATGTAGCACCCTGACCACAGCCCCTCGGGTCCTCTGGAGACCTTCACCCTGGACCTCAGCTCCAGCAGAGTCTGCTAATGTCTTGGACCATGCGGGTTCCGACTTCCCAGAATGCCCCCCTTGCTCCCAGTAGAAGGCCAGAGCTCCAAGTGATTAACCTCTGATTCCCCGGGGCCGCAGGGTCTACAGGCAGCAGCTGATACACATTGATACTGACTGAAAGGGCCCCACCACCACCCCCCTCCTGATCCTGTGCACCTCCCACAGCCACCAGGGAGAAAAGCAGGCACACCTGCGTGGGATTGAGGCCGTGAACCCTTAACAAGGGGGCGGACTGGGGCGTTCCTTATCCTACTAAAGAGGAAGGCAAGGGGGGCATGAGAGCCCTAGACAGTTACTTTGGTAGGTAAGGGCTGCACCCGGGAGTGGCTGGCCTGGAAGCCTTGCCATGTCTTTCCAGAGTACTCTCAGCCTGTCCCTGGACAGTCCCACCCATGCCATTTGTGTGCTGGGCATGGAAATCACATTGGACATCAGTGGGTAAGGCTTCGGGGCGTCTAAAGGAGTTCCTGCAAAGGGTGGTCTGGGTAGAGGCCCCATGCCCAGGAATCAGCTGAACTGGCTGGCCTCCAGGAATCTGGTTTGGTCTACGGGGGCCTTCCAGTCCCACTGCAGGAGACCACCTTACAGCTTTCCTCTGCTTCTCGCTCCTAAGGGCCCCCTTAGCTTTGACGTAGTCGTGAGGAGTAGGCGAGGGGATGTTTTCCTTGTGGTTCTTGCGTTGGCTCACTCCGGGCATGGGCCTGTATATAAAATGAAGATTTGGTTACTTGTGAGGTGTTGGTGGGAGGGTGAGGTTGGGGCTGGAAATCCTCGGGAAGAATGGAGGTCGCAGGGTAGGGGCGGTAAGAGAAAAGCTGAAGACATTAGGGCCCCCCAAACTCCACTGGCCAGCAGGCCACTTCCTCAACCCCAGAAGATGAATGAGGATTGGGGAGCTGTCCTCAGACCCTCCTGCCTCCTAGGCTAGTGAGACCCTGTGCTTCTAACGTGTGGTGTCTCTGTCAAAACCAGGTGTGCCCCCGAGAACTGCCAGTCCTTCACCATCCGTGGCTCCCCCAGGATCCTGATCCACATCTCCAGCACAGTCATCACTGGGAAGGAGGATGCCGTGGTCTGGCGACCCATGAACAAACCCACAGAGGCACTGGTGAGGATGGTGTCACCCAGCCCCACTGTGGACGAGGACAAGGTGAGCCAGGGAGGGGAGAGGGCTAAGCCTTACCTACCCAGGTGATCCCAGTGTGGAAGCCTGCAAGCTTAGCTGAAGCCCATTGGCAAAAGCCAGCTGCAGCTGTCTGTGGGCAGGGAACAAGACGCAGTGGGGGATGGTGAGTGGGTGGAACCTGCCCGTCCGTGTGTCTAGGGCAGGCAGTTTCCTGAGGCGGGTGGTTCACTAGGGTAAGCACTGAGCCTTGAGTAGGCTAGAACCAAGGTTGCAAACTGGACCTAATGGTGCATGCTTATTAAGCCCAGTTAACTGGAAGGAGGATCAAAAGTGCAAGAGCTACCTGGGCTGCAGAACAAGTTCAAGGCCAGCATAAGCAGCTTCAGTGAGACTCTAGAAGTCCTAGGTGGTTGAGGCCCCTCGGGCCAGCTCACAGTGGGCTGTTGGAAACTTAGATGGCTGGAGCACAAAGCCGAGGTCAAATGCCTAGACGCCACCTAGCACTCTGGCGCTGGGCTCCTGCTCTCCACCCTTAACAGATCCTCCCACTGTCCCCACAGGTGTTGGTCTCCTACTACTGTCCTGACACAGAGGTCCCCACGGCCACCGCTGTGCTGTACCTCACCGGCGTTGGTGAGTCTTGCTGCCTCTAGGAGCTGAAGCCCATCCAGACCTCCTCTGGAGAGGAGGGCAGATGGTGTGCCAAGCTAGGGAGAGACTCCTCATATATAAAATGCCTCCTATTGCTTCCCTTGGGGTTCAGTCACTCCTCCCTTCCTTAATTTCCTGAGGATAACAGCAACCAGAATCTGCCCCCTTCCTCACTCGCATCACTGACAGGTCTGGTACAAAATGCCTATGTCCTCTCACTGTGGATCTCTACCCTTAGCAACTTACTGATGTAAGAAGGCCTTAAAACTTGGTGTGAGTGCGCACCAGGCCAGAGGGAGGGCATCAGGTGCCCCTGGACTGGAGTTACAGGTGGTTGTGAGGTCTGATCATGCTGGGAACCGAACTTGGATCCTCTGGGAGAGAAGCAGTAAGAGCTCCTCGTAGCTGAGCCATCTCTCCAGCCCCATCTCCCAGCCGCTTCATAAAAACCAGGTGGCCACTGTCCTCTCTGCCTTGACCCGCTGCTATTAGACACACCTGTCATCCTTCTCTACACACGTCACCTGAAACGTATCGAGATCCCTCTTTGATCTTTCCCAGGGCCTTTTGCAGAGCCCTTCACCCCCAGCTGGCCACCAAAGGTGTTTCAGGCTCATGTAGCTCTTCTGTAGACTCCCAACACTGTCTCTACCCAGGCAGTAGATGCATGAGTATTGCCTTCCCAACCTAGCTTACGTGTCTAACTTAATGGATCCTAAACTGATTTCTATCTACCCTGCCCCAAGCCTCTTCTTAAATTCTGTGTGTGTGTTCACGTGCATCACGTGGTAGACGCGGTCCTTGGGGTCAGAAGGGTGCTTGATGATCTTGAACTGTGGAGTTGGCAGGCAGGTGTGAGCTTCCATGTGGGTGCTGGGAATTGAAATTGGGTCTTCTACATGAGCAGCCAGTCTTCCGGGGGTTGGCAGATTCCCCCATCACAGCAGACATCGCTCCAGCCTTCTGGGTGTTCAGGCTCGTCACCTTGGTGTTGCCCTTCGTCCTCCAGGCCTCCATGTCCATCTAAATCTTAGACACTTTAAGTATAGCTGGACTGCAAGGAGTCCTCGGCTCTGTCCAGACTGTTGTCCTCCTCGATATTTGCCCAGGTCTTCAGTGGGACTCCTAGCATCTTGCCATTCTGTGGGTCCAGTTTTGATCCCACAGCTAGAGTGGTGTATCTTCAGAAAGACTTCAGTTGACAGGTTCCCAGGCTTAGAGCTGCTTCTGTAGGACCCAAATCAAATCAAACGTCATGACTGCCACAAGCCCTCCCTCCATGAGTAGCCCAGCTACCCTCTGACACGAGTCTGGTTTTCTTGCCCCTTCTATTTTTGGCACTAGTGGCTTCTTTGACCCTTGTACTTGGCACTTCGTACATATTTCCCATTCCTCTGTACCTTGGACTCCAGATGTTAGATTTTTTTTTTTTTTTTTTTTTTTGCCGCTTTCAGGGCTTTGAGATGTTAATTTATAAGACTCCCTTAACTCCCTAAAGACAAACAGCTGGCTCCATTCCCTAGTCCCCTACACCCCCTGGCCCATGTTCCTGTCAATGAACATATATACTATCCTCTCCAGCCAACCTCTGTGCAAACTTAAACACTGAACTCCAAAAGGGCAGTCTCTACACGCTGCTGTATCCCAAGCGGTCAGGTTCACTGTGGGCAGCGCGGCACCATGCCTGCAGCTTGGGTGCTGAGGCTGCAGCAGCAAGCCAGGGCCAGGCTCGTGGCCCTGACCCTCCAGACAAGTGGCACCTCACACAGGACCTAGGAGCCGAGACTAAGGCCAAGTTGAAAGGAGCTGAGCTGAGTGGGAAGGGTTGGGCAGTGGGATGCCACGAGAAGGTAGTCCCCCAGGAAGGCTTTGGGCAGAAGCCTGGACCCTTAAGTTTCCAAGGAATTCTGTGTTGATCCTTGTGTGTCTTCAAGTTCAAAGATTTTTCTAGAAAGGT